AGTGAGCTGAACAAAATGTGATATTTTCTGTTTCCGCAGAGTGTCGTGGTTCTCAAATATAACAAAAGTTTTACGAGCCCTGTTTTGGCGGACTTTTGATTGGGGCTCGTAAAAATATTGTTGTACTTGTCGACCACAATATGCTGCGAAAACGGAAAATATCACATTTTGTTCAGCTCACTTTTCTCTACAAGACTAGATGTAAACAATTCCTTAATTTCCTTTTGTTCGAACGCCAAGAGGCTCGCAAAACAACAAAAATCGTGACGGAATCACGCGTTACGTGGACAGGCCGAGAGCCTTTCTCTTTCAACATATTTCCGTAAATCGTGATAAATCGTAATATAAAGTTAAAAGGTTTTCTGCACACCTTCTGCAGACCCCAAGGAGGTTGATCATGCCAAGGACATTGCTCTTGCTTGTCGGCGCATTGAATCGTGTCTTTGGATTAGCTCCAACTGAAATTCGGCGTCGAATCTATCTTTCTTCTATTCTTCCTAAAATCGACTATTGCTGTTCCTTGCACGACAGTTCGTTTTCTCTTACTATTTTTGATTCGTTAAACAAACTCGCTTCTCGTATTATCTCTCACAATTTTGACTTCCGTTCTTCTAGTTCTCTACTTGTGTCTCATCTTTCTCTTCCAAATCTCTCTCTTCGTCGTAAATACTTTAGACTTTTATAGTTTTTCAAAATTTATCATCGTCTAAGTCCTGTGTCTCTCTTTTATACTATTCATCGTCCTCACTACTCATCTTTACGTCTTCATCACTCTAAATACGTTCGTCTTCCACCTTCTGTTGATGGTTTTTCTCCACAAACGGTGCATTCTTCATTTTTTTATTCAACTATTACTGATTGGAATAATCTTCCAGAGTCAGTTATTTGTCTTTCTTCTTTTATGTCTTTCAAAACAGCTTTACTTCAGTATCTCTTCCAGTGAAACGCTTGCCAGTTAAGCATTTATGCTTGTTCTTTTTGCATGCTTTTTGTTACTTTTTTTTAAAAATTTTTTGTTTTCTTTTACTACTTCTGGTTCTAATCTTAGTTGTCTTCTTTATTTTGTTATTTCTTTTATTACTATTTTGGTGTTGTTTGGCTTGAGTCATTGTTATTACAGGTCGGTGACCTTTGATGACTCTCACTTTTCGTGAATAAACAATCTTAGTCTTAGTCTTAGTCTAAAATTTCCACATTTCACGTTGATAGTAGAGATATATGGATGCCTAGTTTTGACCTGTCCACCATTTTAGATCAATCTGTATCACAGTGGAATTGTTATAATAGGGAATCGTGGTTCTTCAACTTCAAGCTTATCGCCATAACAAGCACACAAAAGTACGTTATTTTACATGTAGATCAAGGATAATTTACCATATGTAATGCGTGGTGAAAATCGCAGAAGCAGATGATGTGATGACTGATAATGGGAAAAAAAAGATAGGTGTATCCATAATTTTTCGTTTTTTGCGTAGTTCATACCAGCTCGATGATATATACTATAAAAAGTGAAAAAGAAAACCCTCTTTTGTTTTTTATGTTGTTCAGTCATATTGAATGAGAAAGTTAAGATGTCTTCATGTGTACATGCTGTCAGACGTCTTTTTTCAGATATTTCTTTGACAAAAAGAAAATTTGTTGGAAGCAACATTTTCTCAGTTAATCACATGCAAAACCGACACTACTCCATAAACAACGATATTTTAATTGATATTAATTTCAAAACAAATAACATGAGGAAATTTGCGTTTTGTTTTAGATAATCATGTTCCTTGATGATCTATCTGATGATGTATTAATGTTAATCTTTGAAAAATTGGACATCATTGTTCTCCATGCTGCAGTTAAGAATGTCAATCATCGTTTCAATAGGATTCTCACCGATAAGCGTTTACGATTTTATTCAAACACATCAGCTATAACTCAAGATAAACTTGAATATTATCGGCGAAACTCATTAACAACAATGATAACTGATTTTTCTCATAATAATACTGTTAAATTCAATCTGCAGTACTTGTTTAATTCAAAAATGACTAAAATTGAACGTTTAACATTACAAATATGCGTCATTCAGGATTTAATTGATATTCTTCCGTATCTACCTGAACTCCAGTATTTGAATATTAAAGATTTGAACATGGATTACTTGAAATACACGGATGATGCTCTTCACAATATTAGTCTAATGCGGTTAACCTGTTTAATTCTTAATATTACACCATTGCAGTTTAGTACACTTAAAAAATTTCTGGAATGTATGCCGATACTTCGTAAATTAACAATTAGTGGTCAATGTTTTCCACCTTGCGACGAATGTTTTGATACTGAACAGTGGAAACGACTTTCTTCGACATCATTACCCAAACTCGAACATTTTCATCTGGCATTGCGTGCACGTTATACACCACAACTCGATGAGTTAAAGAAAACGTTTGAAAAGGATGAATATTGGACAACAATAATAAGAAAGTCCAAAATAATTCTCTATCTGAGAAAAAATCCAAGTTAATTCATTTCTAAAACGATAAATTTTGATATGTATACAAGTTTTGTTGAGAAACTTCCCTTATTTTTATATCTTAACAGCAGAAGTTTAACGAATTATCGAATATAATATTTGTATTTGACATCATCTAGTCTTTTCAACCTCTTCAATCTTGTGTGAATCCTGTGACTTTATAACGTTTTACATTGTGTGTGTTATTCTATGATGAAATTTTATTATGTGCTTTTTTTACAGAAATAGTTTGTAACTTTTGCAATTTTTCATTAATTAAAAAATATTTTTGATATTTGTTATTTGCTACAAAAAAGATGTTCAGGTTCACTGTTTTTATCCTACTTTCTAACCGAGTAACGATATATTTATCATGAATGCGCCAGACAGTACAATCAAAATATAATAGTACATTTCTTTCATCTAACCTTTAAATTCCGTCCCATGTGGTTTTTCGAGCAAGCAATAAACAATCTATATTTATATATTTATATCTATCTCATCTTTCCCTATATGACAGTTGTATGGATAGTCTACACAAAATTGTCGACTTCGCCCATGATTTTTTCTCAAACTAAACTTCTTCAAAAAGTTAATACAAAAAGAGAAAAAATTTGATTTAGATTTTACTCTTATATTCTGTTCGTAACAAGCATTTGCTTATCTTTTATAGTAATAAAACTACTAAAAGTAAGTTATGAAAATTTGTTTTACTCAACATTTGCCTTTTACTTACCATCGCGTATTGTCGAGACACATAGTAGATAAAAGTCACACTGAATTTTGTGAAGCACTTTTGAGACATTTCATGACAGCAAAAGAGAAAATTATTTTCTCTTTACGATTAGGAGTTTTCAACAGAAACTAAGCGTTTTAAATAATTTTTCAAATCTTTCAGTCCTTTCTGTTTTTTTATCATCAGATTTTCAGAAATGATCAATTTTTTTTTTCTATTTTGTTAACATTTTATTTGAGCAATTCATCACATAATTCTCGGTTAAAATTGACTTCAAAAAATGAAAAACTAGCCTTATAAAGTTACCCTTGTAACTGAAACTTATCAACGGTATGAACGCATAAATGAATGACTGAATGGGTTCGAGAATTTTTCAAAGTCTTTTGCGAATATCGTTGCATGAGTCAACAGGACACACGGACTAAGAGCATAGTTTGACAATAATTTACATATGTATACATTTTTTTGCCTTTGTCTTACACAACACATGATTTGTGATGTCTTGGTATCTAGTATATAATGTGGTTTATATTATTACATAGCATGGCTTCAGCTATCTGATGTATTTGAACGTTTCGCATCTTCTTCAACGAATTTTGTTAATAAACAATGTGCACACATTGAGTTATTTGTAAAGATAATAAACATTCACAATAAACATCTAGTGGATAGTAACTGATTAATGATAAATGAAGATACAAGAATTCTATATGTGACCATCTTTTACAATGGAACCAACATGTAATTACATACTGAAGAATACTTAATTTTTAAGTTTCTACTATAAATGCATCCTTAATACTTCTTAAACATTTAATTGAAGTTTATCTGAATCAACTATTTTTCACAATTGAAAAACGAGGCGAGATTTGAGTACTAATAGTTACTTGAGATCCTCGTACACCGTAGTTTTTCATATCAGAGGAGAGGGGAACGTATAGTATCATACTGGTTCTTGTACGGCGGTACAGTAACGGACAACATAAATTTTTATTTATACAGTACGATACTGTGCCGTATAGGATAATTTTTTCTACCTACAGGAAGGAATCTAGTGATATTAATGGCGAATCTTAAAACGATTTTCTTGTGCTTTGTGTATTTTAGATTATTTCCTCGGTTTTCTAATTTAATAAAATCAAGTAAAAATATACCGATGGCAACGGAAAAACAAAGTAACATTCTGATCGCAGTCAAAATTTTCTTCTAAGGGACGCAACGTGAATCCGGCTGTACGAATCTGATCGACGTTTTAGACTTTCACATAACGATACGATAAGAGAAACAACATCTTATTCCACTAGCCTCTTCGTCATACTAAGTTCATATTTTTCTAAATTAATCCTTGTTTTATGCCTTATTTATGCGTAAACTTTGGAAAATAATTTGAGATTCTTTAAACTTTAAATTGATTTCAATAACTAAAAACTATCACATGTTGTAGAAAATTTGAAGATAATGAAAAACGTTTTCCCATGTGATGAAAGTATAGCTATCTGAATCATTTCTTGAACATAAAGGTGTCGATGCTGATATAAGTATGGGCATCGAGCCTGCACTCAATATTGGATCCTTTGATTTGTTCAGTTCATTTTAATTCTTTAATTAAAATGAACAAATGAATGCACTCTGTGCTGAATAACAGATGACGATTGAAGTAAATAATCGAAGACTTTCGATCGATAACAGACCGTAAAAGAATTCTTTGAATAACCATAATACCGAATGATCACGAACACGTTGACAACGATTCTTTTGACGATTACGAGTGCAGGAAATAGAGAACCATTACTTTTATCCAGATAAACAATATGATAACAGTGAGCACAAACAAAATAAGGAATTTTTCACAGCAGCAAAGAAGGATGCCTGCTCAGGTAGAATAAAAGATACACCAGTCGCTCCTAAAATAGAAGCAAATTTCAAACTGTCTTTCACTGCTCCGATCGATCGAACTTACCTAACGCAGATCTTAAGAGAAAACCGCCTCTCATTAGACCGTTAATGACGTTCCCCGTTCTATTTACGGTCTTGTTCATATAGCCAGTCAACTGAAACATCTTGAAGAAGCCTATATCGAATGAATCCAGAAGGCGATCATCAACGTTTTGGTATATTGTGTTGAAGGATTTTTAATGGGCAGAAGATCCAACGATGCTATGAAACAGTAACACACGAGCGGCGACGACAACCCACTTTGAATCCTTGAAATACAAAAATGTCAACTTTACGCGCCACGTAACCGGTTCCTTTTTATTCATTCGACCTATAAACTGGTCGTTCGAACACGAGAGGTATGTACTCTATCAAAATACTTCATAAAAAGAAAACAAACAAGTCTTGCTCTCATGCTCAGGGGTTTCAAATTCTCTTGCACAACCATGTCGATAAGTTTCCTTTTGAGAAAATATGTCGATTTATCTTTTATTTCAATTGTGATGAAAGAAAATGCATCTTTTTCCCCGCTCAACTTTTATATACATATATAAACTGGGGAGGTATGTACTCTGCGCAAATACTCAGTAGTTGTAAAAAAAAGAAAACAACTTTTCTTCCATACAAAGTACACTACTACCTCAATTTAAAATTCTCTTGCACACGACACCCATATCGATAAGTTTTCTTTTGAGAAAATGTGTCAATTTATCTTTTATTTCAATTGTGATGAAAGAAAATGCATCTTTTTTCCCGCTTTTATATACACATAACTTAATCTTATTAAATGACTTATCCTTGAGATTAATACATTCTGTTGATCAATTAAGAACAGAACATAGAACCGAATTAATATACAGTTCATAAACTAATTTAACTATCCTTCTAATGAGCTTATCAATGAAAGGTATAAAAATGGCACACAATCCTCATCTAAATCACAGTACAACCTCAATCATTATTCAACTCATTCTTCATCTTCTACAATGGACCAAAAGAAGAAGCAATTATCGTTCATACCAAAGTTCTTATCAAAATTATTCGTTAAGAAATCAAAGATCGCATGTCATTGTAACACAGTAGC